TCTGAAGCGGAAGAGGGGCCGCCATCCGGGTGCATCCCACATCACTGAAATGACAAACCGTGGGAGCAGGCTGGGAGGGAGGAGAGTGAGGCCAGGTGGGGCAGAGGGAGACCCCGGCAGGTGGAGGAACCGGAGGTCACAGGGAAGGTCGATTGTGCTTCTGGAGAGAGGGCGGGCCAGGAGGCTATGGGTGAGGAGAGCAGCAGCACTCGGAGTCCAAGACTGACCAGGTTCCCAGCTCGGCTCCCTCACCCCACCTGTGGGGCCTGCGGCGAGCACCTTCACCTGGCTGACCCTCACTCCCTCGCCTCTGAAATGCACCGAGGAACTACTTCTCTCTCACACTAGCGGGTGCTTTTAGCATTATTTCCCCATTTAAAACCACTGTCTGACATGGCTCAACAAAACACTTCCCAATACTTCATTATGAAAATGCTCAAAACACACAGAAAAGTTGAATTGGGCACTCAGATGCCACCACCTGGATTCTATAATTTATAATTTTATTATCTCGATCTCCTATCTGCTCAGCCATCTTATTTTTCATACATTTCAAAATAAATGCACAGGAGACTTCACCCTGTTTGTTACAGTTCTTTCTTTTTTTTAAATAAAATTTACTTACAGTGAAACGCACAAATCCTAAGAGGGCATTCACTGGGTTTGAGAGCTGCACAGTGTTCTGGGATTGAGTTTGAGTGTTCAGTGCGGCCATATGCCTGTGAGCGTTCATTCAACAGCGGGAGGTGTTACTGTTAAGATATGGGAGCCTCCCCCGCCCCCGGCCGGCGTGGCTCAGTGGTTGAGCATCGACCTATGGATCAGGAGGTCACGGTCCGATTCCTGGTTGGGACAAAAAATAAGTAAATAAAGATATGGGAGGCAAGACGGTCCCGAGGGTGGAGGCCAGCGTGACCCAGTGCTGTGGGAGGCAGAAGGTGGGGAGACCTGAGGAGCTAGTGTGAGGCCTACATGGAGGAGGGGGCCTTAATCTGCTCAGGAGGGGGCTGCCAGGGACTATTGCGGGGAAGAGTGGAGAAGAAAGTAACCAAGGAAAGGGGAGGTTGTCCTGTTAGTCAGCACAATGTGGCAGCCTGAGGGGGTGAGGCTGTGGAGATGAAGTCCCCGGAATGATAGGAGAGCCGTACTTAGAACTTAATGTGTGAGAGGCCAACCCTCACCACGGGTCGGGCCGCGAGTACCTGGATCCTCCTCAGGTCTGTGACTTGCCTTTGATCGGAGAGTTAGGAGGTGCTGCCGAGCTGGGGTTCCAGCCCAGGATTGCCAACCCTTGTCCCGAAGATCCAGCCAGCCGTCCAGGCCTCGCCCTGAGCTTCTGATCTGGGAGGACTCGGCGCTGTGCAGCCTGAGCGGCCTGGGCGTGAGGGTGGGGCTTAGGGCTCCCCAGGTGATCTCAATGTGAAGTGGGGATTGAGAGCCACCGTTTTAAAGGCACTGGTGGGCATCAGGTAGGCATCAGGGGAGAACGTGCAAGGGGAAGCCAGAGAGGGAAGGCAGAGGCTAAATTGGGGGCACCCCCTGCTCACTCTCCCGGGCAGCCAGGCCTGTCCCTGGCCCCTGAGCTTGGTGGGTGGCCTCTCCAGCTCAGCTGAGAGCAGCAGCTGGCTGTCCTCTTGGTCCCGGACAGCAGGCAAGGCCATGCGTTGTTCTCCTACTTCCAGTGCCCCAGCCCTTGCCCTGGGAGGGACCACGGGTGCCCATGTTGACACGAACCCCTCCCAGGTGTCACTATTTGTCCCAGCACCTTCACATCCTCCAAGGCCCTGTTGCCTGGACCAGGGCGACGGCGTCATTATCAGCCTCCAACTTTTCCTCCATCGATAACCAATCAGGAAGCCAGCAGGCGATCATCAATCACACTGACGTCTCCCGAGGCCACCTGTGGCCAGGTGGGCAGAGGTGCCCTTGGAGAGCCTCCCTCCCCAGGAAATGCTCTCCCCTTTCCTGGGTACCATTGTTGTGTCTCTCTGTGTGTGTGTGATCCCTCCCCTAGAACCTAGACTCCACCAAAGCGAGGAAAGAAAGGGCCACCACACTCTTCTCCTATCCCTGGGGCCTCATCCAAACCCTGGCTTCCTGCCGGTGCTTACTCCCCGCAGTGAGAATGGAATAGACGAGCAGCCCAAAACCTTAACGCGCATCTCCCTGAACTGTGTTTGGAAAATCACCTGCACACTCTCTCGGAGCCGGTTCTTGCTGACAGGAAGAAGCCTTCCAGAAGCTGGGGCCCCTCGCGTTCATTCTCTGTTGTTGCCCTAAAAATCACCACCCACTTAGGCGCTTCAGACAACACAAGTCCATCCTCTCGCAGCCTGTGGGTGAGAAAGCCAGGCTCAGCGCGCTCCCTGGGCCAAAATCGAGCGGTGGCCAGGGCTGCGTTCCTTCCTGAGGCTCTGGGATGAATCTGCCTCCAAACTCATCCAGGTTGTTGGCCAAAGTCAGTTCTTTGTGGAGGTGGGGCCTCAGTGGGGGGCCCCTCTCAGCTTCTGACGGCTGGCCGGCCACCCGCACACCTCGTCCTGCCGGCCTGCTGCCCTTCTTCAATCCCGCAAGGGCAGGCCAAGTCTTTCATTCTTCAGATCTCAGACTCATCCTTCAGCCACATCATTCCGTCTCCAGCCAAAGAACCTTCTCTGTTCTTATGGGCTCATCCGATTGAATGGGGCCCACTCAGATACTCCAGATAGAGCGCTCTACTTGAAATTCTGCGACCTTAATTACAGTTGAGAAGTCCCTCTTGCCATGTAAGATCACATAGTCACATGTCCCGGGGGTTGGGGGGATGAACATCTTTGGGGGAACATTATTCTCTGCCCACCACACCCACCCCACCCCACCCCCCAGGAGAAGAAAGATCCCAGAATTAGGTGGACAGAGACCTGAGAGAATTTTTTTTTTAAATATATTTTTATTGATGTCAGAGAGGAAGGGAGAGGGAGATACAAACATCAAGGATGAGAGAGAATCATTGATCGGCTGCTTTCTGCACGCCCCACACCGGGATCGAACCGTGACCTCCTGGTTCATAGGTGGACGCTCAACCACTGAGCAACGCCAGCTGGGTGAGATCTGAGTTTTAAGCCCAGCTCTCCTTCTTGGTCATGTGATCTCAGGACAGGGATCGCTCAGCTGTCTGGGCCTGTTTCTTCATCTGTAGAATCGCCCCAGTAGAAATCAAGACTTGGGTTGTGGTACAACCAGGACTCTGCGGAAAGCGTATCATTTCCCGTTGCCACAGCAACATGAGCCTCTCTTTTCCCCAGGATGTGAGCAGAGCTGCTCCCTCAAGCCCCCTCAAAGTCTCTTCTGCCTCTGAGAGTCTGTGACTCAATTATTGTCACCAATGCCCGCACTGTTTTTGCCATTCTCGTTTATTCCATCTGCTGAGTCACCGAGACCTGCGCTGCATCAGGATGGTTAGTCACCAGAACATTTGGCCACTGGTTGCCATGGAAACCTCACAGCCTGCTTCCTTCATCACCTGTTAATTCTCAGCAAAGCTGGCTGTGAATGTGGGTACCACGGCCTCTTATCCAGAGCGGGAGGGGCCCTGATGATGCACGAACAAAAGCAAAATCTCTAGGCCCAGCTGCGGAAAAATAAAAAACAGCCTAGAGCTAGTTACATCTGTCCAAACGAGGTCAAGACAGCGATTTATCAAGCAGGCTAACCAGCCCAACCGGTGTGGCTCAGTGGTTGAGCATCAACCCAGGAACCAAGAGGTCACAGGTTTGACTCCCGGTCAGGGCACATGTGGGCTGCAGGCTCAGTCCCCAGTAGAGGACATGTAGGAGGCAGCTTATCAATGATGCTTTTTTTCCCATTGGTGTTTCTCTCTCTCCCTTCCTCTCTCTAAAAACCAATAAAAACATATTAAAAACACAACAACAACAACCCAGGTCAACAAGCATTCCATTTGGTTTTCTGGAACATCTTGGGCAAGCCCTTTTGTCTCTTTGCTAACCGTCTGAAGATGTATTTTTTTAAAAAATATATATTTTATTGATTTTTTTTACAGAGAGGAAGGGAGAGGGATAGAGAGTTAGAAACATCGATGAGAGAGAAACATCGATCAGCTGCCTCCTGCACACCCCCCACTGGGGATGTGCCAGCAACCAAGGTACATGCCCTTGACTGGAATCGAACCTGGGACACTTCAGTCCACAGGCCAACACTCTATCCACTGAGCCAAACCGGTTAGGGCTGAAGATGTATTTTTATATTGAAAAGTGGTGAATGCGTTCTGTGATTACTGCCTTCCCTTGAGGCACAGGAGCCTCAAGGAATTGGCTCTGGGTAGGGGGTTTGCAAGAGGCGGGGATGAGGGGCAGACCTGGGGAGATGTGGGGTAGCTGCAAGCTAAATCCAGCCCAGCACAGAGGGCACCAGGAGAGGGGGCGACACTCCGGGGTTTCCAGGTAAGGGAAGGTGAGGGTTCACAGCCAACCAGGATGTGGCCACGGGGCAGGGAGAGCGAGGCCTGATCAGCCCACGGCCCATTGCTCCTGATAACCGTGACACGTCCTGTGTGCAGAGGCCGGCAGACGGGACAGGAGATCAATACGTCACCCTCTGATCACACCCTCCCTGATCTTCAAACATCAGTATGGGCGGAACATGCTTTCTGAGTCTAAGGTCATTTGGTCCGCCTGCCTCACCTGCCCCCCAGTGGGAAGTAGCCTAAAGGATGCCCACCAGACCCCTGACCCCGAGGACATGGCAGACATTGTTCCTGACCCCAGGAAGCCTGCCTCCTGCCTGCCCCATGCCCAGCTGAAGAACGGCCCCTACCCTGCTTCTGCCCCTCACCAACGCCCCTTCCTCCCCCCGCATCCGGGTGACTGACGAAATGGCAGGGTGGGGCAGGGTTCTTCGTGCTGTGGGAGCCTGGCCTCATGGGAACGGAGGGCTTGGGAGGGGCCTTGAGGGCTTTATAAGGCAGGGCTGGAGCAACCGGCCCAGCAGAGAACCGAGAGGCACCAGGCAGACCTCAGCATCACCCAACTCCCGGCTCGGCAGGTGAGAGCACCCGGAGGGGAGGGAGAGGCTGGGAAGAGCATCGATGGGGCCCCACACCCTGTCAGGCTCACATATCAGTATCGCCAGGGCTGGGACCCTCCCCTTAACCCAGGGTGGGACTGGGTCTCAGCACGAGGACCCACCCTGGATTCCTGACCCTTGCCTTCGAGCTGACCTGCTGCTTCACCCAGGGCCCAGCCCGGACCCTCTCACTCCATATCCCCCCCTCTCACCAGCCCTGGGAGGTGAGAAAGACAAACGCTATTCTCCCACCTCTCAGATGAGAAAACAGGCCCAGAGGGAGATGTGACCCAAATGACTGGGTAAGGCTGGGCCTGGAACCCGTGTTCCTGGGCCCCATCTCAAGCTCTTTCCTAGACCAGCCCTGTCTGGAAGCACTTCCCATGCGATGGTAGTGTTCTATGCCTGCCCCGTCCGATACGGTACCCACCCGCCACACGTGCACGGAAATACGGCTAGTGCAAGGGAGGACCTTTTTATCTAATTAATTAAATGTAAAGAGCCACCCGGGGCCAGTGGCTACCATACTGGACAACCCACATGGCTAGTGTTGGGCACGGGGAGTGTGCGGGAGGTCTCCAAAGAGATCCCTGTGGTCCTTTATCACTGCTGAGTGTCCTTGTTAAAAAAGACATTTTTATTGATTTCAGAGAGGAGAGGAAAGGGAGAGAGAGATAGAAACATCAAGGATGAGAGAGATCACCCTTTCTTTTTTGCCTTTTAAGTGTATTTTTATTGATTTCAGAGAGGAAGGGAGAGGGATGAGAGAGAATCATCGCTCGGCTGCCCCCTGCACGCTCCATACCGGGGATCTAGCTGGCCACCTGGGCGTGTGCCCTGACCCGGTATCGAACCGTGACCTCCTGGTTCATGGGTCAACGCTCAACCACTGAGCCACGCCGGCTGGACCCTTGGTTGTTACTTTTAAAGTTGGCCTAAATGACAAGACCGAAACACCCACAGAGCTGCTCACGTGGCTTCGAATTGTGCATAACAGTTGAGAAATCGTTCCTCTAAGAAAAGCAGCCACTGGAATTAGGGTAGGGAAGGAGGAGAGGGGCAAGGCGTGGAGGTAGGGGGAGTGGGGGGACTGGCAGGAACAGTCCACAAGCCCTTGCAGAATTGCACACCTGCCAGCAGGGGGGGACCTGGAGCCCACCTGGCCCAGGCCCCTGCCCCTGGTGCCTGGACTGCCCTCCCCTAAGCTGGGCCCTGCTCCCTCTGCAGACAAGATGCAGCGGCTGTGTGTGCAAGCGCTGATCCTGGCTCTGGCTCTGGCCGCCTTCTCGGAAGCCTCCTGGAAGCCCCGCTCGCAGCTGCAGGACGCACCCTCGGGCCCAGGGGCCAAGAGGGCCCTGGAGGCACGTTGGCCGGACCAGCTGGGCCCAGCCCCTCACCACCAAAGGCAGCTGAGGTTCCCGGATCCCCCACGCCCGGTGGCAGGTAGGAGCTGCCGACAGCCCTCCCTGCTTGCCTCCCCCAGCCCGTTTGGGCCCTGGCCTCGGTTCCCCAGGGCTCCGTGTCCCTCCCCATCCTCACCGCCTCTCCCGCCTCTGGCCCGCAGACCTGTCCAAGAAGCAGGGGCCGTGGCTGGAGGAAGAGGAAGAAGCGTATGGATGGATGGACTTCGGCCGCCGCAGTGCTGAGGAAGGGGACCAACAGCCCTAGCCACCTCCCAGCCCAGCCCAGCCCAGCCCCATGGAAAACCAACCCAAATAAACCCGCTTCTAATGGACCACATTGTGTCAAGTGTCCTGGGGCAGGGGAGGGGAGCTGGGGCAGGGTTGAGGCAGGGAGGGGAGCTGGGGCAGGGTTGAGGCAGGGAGGGGAGCTGGGGCAGGATTGAGGCAGGGAGGGGAGCTGGGGCAGGGTTGAGGCAGGGAGGGGAGCTGGGGCAGGGTTGAGGCAGGGAGGGGAGCTGGGGCAGGGTTGAGGCAGGGAGGGGAGTTGAGCACCATCTAGGGCAGTGGTTCTCAACCTGTGGATCGCCACCCCTTTGGCGGTTGAACGACCCTTTCACAGGGGTCGCCTAAGACCATCCTGCATATCAGATAGTTACATGACGATTCATAACGGTAGCAACATTGCAGTTATGAGGTAGCAACGAAAATAATTTTATGGTTGGGTCACAACATGAGGAACTGTATTTAAAGGGCCAGAAGTTTGAGAACCACTGATCTAGGGGCAGACGCCATGGCTCATGCTTCTTGGTGTCCCCAGAGCCCAACACTGGGCAAGAATCTCCTCATGTGGGTGGGAGAATAGGGGGTGGGGGTGGGGGTTGAAATCAGAGACAGCTTTTTATTTTATTTTATTTTTAAAATATATTTTTATTGATGTCAGAGAGGAAGGGAGAGGGAGAGAGAGAGAGAAGCATCAATGATGAGAGAGAATCATTGATTGGCTGCCTCCTGCACGCCTCCCACTGGGCACAGTCCTGGCATGTGCCCTGACGGGGACTCGAACTCTGACCTCCTGGTTCATGGGTCGATGCGTAACCACTGAGCCACGCCGGCCGGGTCAGAGAAAGCTTTTGACAAGATAAATGCAATCGTGTCACGCCAACCCTCCAGTGCTCCCCATTTCGCGTAGAATGAAATCTATGCTCCGTGTCAAAGCTCTGAGAACCCGTCTTCATGGTGGATGCTGCCATGGGGGCCACATGTCTTCCTCCTCTCTCTTCCGTTCCCCAACACAGACACTGGCTCCTTCCTGCTCAGAACCTTTATCCTTGCTTCCGCCCACCCCACGCCAGCACGAACGTCGCTGGTTGACATGCCTCCTCCCGAGAGACCCATCCTCTGCTCCTTGCCCCCATTAGTCCCTGACTGCAGCGTACTGTGTTCTGCCGAGCCCATGGCACATGTGGTGGTTTGGCTGGACGGCTTCTTGTCTGCCTCCCCAGTTAGAAGGAAACTGTAAGAGCGAGGGCCGCGTGTCCCTCTGCCCTGCTGTGTTCCTGTCGCCCCAAACAGGAGGTACCCACTAAATATTTGTTAAATGGGCGAGTGGCTGGCTCGGGCACTTGCTGGTGTCTCACCCACAGCCCCTCACGGCTCTGTCTGTGGGCAGCATCCTCCCCCAGGCACAGCCACTCTCCGCCGGGGGGCGCTCCGAGCACAAGGCCGGCTGGACATGCCGGGGAGTTCGTGCCTCAGTCCACGGCCGATGAGAGCTGGAGGAGAATGGCAGTGCAGACCCCCAGGACTGGCAACCTTTCTCTAAAAGGGTCGGATAGAAAACATTTTAGGCTTCGCAGGCCAAGGGGCAACGTCAAGAACATTGTCTAAGTATTCAAAGAACCATGAGGCCTAGTTTGCTGACTCCCCTTCCAGAGCAAGTCATGCCATCTGCAGAAGAGAATTACTTACATTTAAAAAGCCATCCCCGGCCCCACCAGTGTGGCTCGGTGGTTGAGTGTGGACCTACGAACCAGGAGGTCGCTGGTTGGATTCCCGGTCAGGGCACATGCCCTGGTTGCAGGCTCCATCCCCAATGTGGGGCGTGCAGGAGGCAGCCGATCAATGACTCTCTCTCATCTTTGATGTTTCTATCTCTCCCTCTCCCTTCCTCTCTGAAATCAATACAAATATATTTAAAAAATAAAAATTAAAAGCCACCCTCCAGCCTTTGAAAGTCTGGGGTCCGCATCCCGGGCTGCTGCTCCATCATCCCGCCCCGCCCCCCCTCCATGACTCCCCATCCTCCACAAGAAAATCACTTGTCAGCCTCTCCTCTTTCATCGCACATCGTTTTACTGTCACCATGCCAATAAGGGTCCAGCAGTCATACTCTTCCTGTTTGGGGGGTCCCATCTCACCCCCCTGCCCCTCTGCCATCCCCCCCACTCCAACCACACAGGACTCCCCACTATTGGGAAGTGTCATACTTTCATTCATTCATGAAACGGAAGCTCTGCCCAGTGGCTCCCCCACTAGCCTCCAGCTTCCAGCTTCCTGGACCGTCTCGCTGTGTTTTAAACAGCTCTGTAGCTCCAACACCCAGCATAGAACAGGTCATACAGTAGAGGGTCGTTCAACTCCTGCTGAATAGATGTTTGTTGAACTGGATTCGACCAGCCCTGAGGTCCCAGGGGAGTTTGGGGTGAAGAAGGAGGACAGGAAATGGAGCAGACAAAGAGAGGGGAAAGGGACCCTCCAGGTCCCCAGGTGGTGGCATCATCTAGGTCAGTGATGGCGAACCTATGACACGTGTGTCAGAGGTGACACGTGAACTCATTTTTTTGGTTGATTTTTCTTTGTTAAATGGCATTTAAATATATAAAATAAATATCAAAAATATAAGTCTTTGTTTTACTATGGTTGCAAATATCAAAAATTTCTATATGTGACACGGCACCAGAGTTAAGTTAGGGTTTTTCAAAATGCTGACGCGCCGAGCTCAAAAGGTTCGCCATCACTGATCTAGGTCAAGCATATCAAACTCCCAGCCTGCGGGCTGCATGTGGCCCACAACGAATATTTTTGCGGCCCAGCCAATATAACGGTATGTAAGAAACGTTTTAATAAAAATATTGTAACTTAATTTTTACAATATCCTGTTATACATAATTATCAATAACGACTACAACGTTCACTAATGACTGATGACTATAATCGTGTTGCATTCATTTTCCTTAGGCGCCTTATGCTCAGGTGCATCATTTCTCTCCACTAATACTAGCAGCGAATATTTTAGCTGCCGATGACCACATCATTAGTCTTGTACTGACTTGTTTGGTGTGCGCAACAGGAAATATTTTGCTTTCGGAGAACAAGAAAAATAGGTTTATTTGCATTATGCTTATTAATTTGTGCAGCTATTCAGTGTCTGGTAAGTTAATGTTCAAGAAAAAATATTAATTTTTATTAAGATGTTTTATTATTTTAAGTTAATGATGACTCATTTATTTCAGCCCTTTGTATTCAGCATGTCTTTACTGAAATAAACCTATGTTTCTATGAAAATTGAAGCTTTTGTTTTTTTGCGGCCCACATAAACTTAAACCTTGTTTATTTGGCCCGTGTTAGCCTTTGAGTTTGACATGCTTGCTCTAGGTTCAGGCACTGGAGCCCAGCAACTCCAGCTCCAGCCACCAGAGGGCAGTGTCAGCCCACATCTCACCGCTCTCCAACTCCCTCCTAGGCAGGGCCAGTCACCCCACAAAAGAGGCAGAGTCTGCAAAGTGACCCATTTTACAGACAGAGAAACCAAGGCTCAGACCCTGGGTCACTTTTCAGGTAAACATGTGGGCCCAGCAGGTAGGCGTCTGCCACAGCCCAGGAGACCCGGCAGGCGCCTCTGGAGCGGTGCCTTTCAGCCTCCTTCCCCTTCCCACCCTGTTGCTGATGCTCTGACCCCAGAGGTCAGCAGAGCAGATCCCCTAGGCCTCCTGCTCTCCCTCCCTCCCAGTGTGTCCCCTCGGACTCGTGCTGGGCCAGAGAGAGGGCAGAAGGAGGCAACCCTCCCCTCCCCCAACCACCAGAGCCTTGAACTGGGGGCACCATCACCCTGATGCCCAGCCTTGGGCAGCCTCCCCTGGCCTGACCTTGGAAAAAGTCACCTGGTACAGGGTATCCCTTGGCAAGAGTCCCTGAGGGTCAGTGCCCGGGGTCTGGGCAGGGCCAGGCACCAGAACTACCTTCTGCATCCAACTGGGGAGCAGGCCAGAGAGGGTGCCCTGGACAGGGGACAGGGGAGACCCCCCCCACACACACACACTCCTGCTTGTCTCTTGCAGGCCTCAGGGAGCCCTCCTCCCTCTCCTGGTTCCTCTTCCACCACCCACCCCAGCACCTGGGCATCTCCACCCCTCAGGGCCCCCTCTTTCTCTTACTCCCCCTCTCAGGACCTTGGCCAGACTCCTGGGGCGCTAACCCCCTCTGAGCCTTTCCCCTGGCCTGGGACAAGGGTATGGAATGGGTTGAGGACCTGAGCCTCTCAGCCTGCTGTCCTCTGTTTTCTAGGACCCAGCTCCGAACTTCTAGAAAAGGTCTTAAAAGGGGGAGAAAATGGGAGAGATCTGTAATACCATCAACAATAAAAAAATATAGTAAAAAAAAGAAAAAGAAAAAAGAAAAGGTCCTAATTCAAGTCCTTTTCCCAGAGGGTGAAGCTTCTCGGTGATTAATGAGTAACTGCTCTTTGGTAGAAATATGTGCTTCCAAAATAAATAAACTCTGCATTTGGGAAGCTGCCCCATAGTTGAATTTGAATGCATGTCAAGCTATCAGCTCCCAGGAGGCCAGCATTAAATTCTGGGGAGCAAGACGTTTCCTGTCCAGCTTCCCTGGTGGCAGGGACTTGTGCGGCAGGAAAAACAAACAAGGAATCTGAATCTGCCGTGTCGGTTCCCGCCTGTGACCAGGAGAGGGTGCAATCTGAAAACGTATGTCCGCATCCACATCCCCGACGCACAAGGCCTTTCTGTTTTGCACACTGAGGTCAAAGGTCCCAAGCAGGACTGGAAGACGACCAGATATTGTCAAAGACCGTAATTCAAAACCTGAACATGCGTACAATTCTGGGGTGTATTTCTTTGGGGGGGGCTTGGGCGTGGGGTGGGGGGCGGGGGGAGAAATCTCATGTGTACGCCCTGGGAATCTCAGGGGCAGCTTCCCGTGTTGCCTTAGAGAAGGGCAGGCAAACAAAGCCCCGTTATGTGGCGGTAAACAACAAGCCGGGAAGGATTGGGAGGAGGATTTTCATCCTTTTCTAGA